AAATCGAATCTCTAAGCCGGTGGTTGCCAGACTGAGTTGTGTCCGAGTAGGATGCTCTTCATAAGGTAGTTTTGTGACTGCTGGTCATTTCCTCTTTCCAAGAATTCGCTAAGGAATACTCTGTCCATGGGAACTTTCGTGGTGGTTATTCTTTTCCTGAGAACTTCGTGATGGTTGATAAAATAGCGTAAGACGTTACAATGGGACTGTTTACAGATGAATAAAAGTGACCATCTTTTACATGAAAACATCTTTCAATCACATCATCATCTTAATAGGGGAATCTTCTGAATTCACTAGACTGTCAGTCCCAGAATGGCTGCTTTTGTTAGCGGGGCGAGTTCAATATATGCAGGTGAAAGGAAAGATTCCAATATGGCTTTCAACGAAAAGAATCTACATTGTGGAATGGCTTTCTTTGGTTACTAGAGATGTTCTCACTGGTTTATTCCTAAATTGTGGAAAGAACTTTCACTGTGTATGTTTATGCTCTGTGTTTTATTGAGTATTTTGTTTAAGGAAAGATGAATTTTTATCAATTCGTGGAATAAAAATAATATTTCAAAGAGAAATACATGTTTGCAATGGGAAATTTTCTACACTGTATGTTTGTTTAAAATATTCTTAAGCATAATGTATTGGCAAAAATACATAATTTTACAATATTTACTAGAATTCTCGTTTTGGTATAGTAACTAAATAGTACATAAAGTTAATTGCAAGAGTAACTGTAAATTTTTGATATTTTTAACATTTACTGCTAATATAATGTTACAACAAAGCAAAATTATTTAGCTGTTTTTTTCCCCCTGGTACAAGGATTTAAAAACCCATAAAATTAAAACAAAGGAGCATTTTATTACATTCATAAAATAAAACTTTTGTTTATGACAACATAGACCTGTTCTTCCAGACACATGCAAAAAAACTCTAATTTTTTATTAATAGCTAAGCTTTACTAAGTTTTAGGTTAACTGCAATGTAGCATAATTATAATACTACAATGATACACCCCAATATAGCAAAGTGTACAGATATGATACGGCTACTTAATATTGTTTGCTTAACTGAAATGGAAGCGAAAAGAGCTTCATTTCCAAATACCCCAAAAAATGTGCCATATACAGGGTGTTTAAAAAAGAATGACCCAATTTCAAATAATTCAGTTTAGGAACATTACAGTTACCAAAAAAAAAAAAAAAAAAAAAAAAAAAAAAAAAAAAAGCAAATTAATTATTAATTATGTTCTCAGGTTTCAGTGACTGTATTTATAAATATTGTATCCTTTACTTCTTACATGGGCAATATCAAGAGAGTTGCTGAATCCACTGCGAATGTGTCTGAAAGTATCTCCTTCCGCAGAAGTTACTAGCCCAAAAGAGGCCTTAGTTCAAATGGGCTATTAGTCTCAAAACAGGATTTTCTGATGAATCACTATAAAAGGCTATATCACTTTTCAAATATTTGCCATCAAATATTATTGGCCTGTGTTATTTTTACAGAAATTAAATAATAAAGAATCTGCATGAATGTGTGTGTGTATATATATATATATATATAGGATGGCATCGTCGATAATAATCGGATGATGTGGCAAGCTGTGAAAACAAATCTCTTTTATTTGCATGATAGAATTCAGAAAAAAGCTCTCAAACATTCAGGGGCTCTGAAACAAATTCAGAAGAAGGCGCTGGAACGGCTGCTTTTGTTAACTAGAAGAGTCTAAGATTTGTAGGTATGGTAAGTGAAAGTAGGGATGAGATAAGGGAAGAAGAAAAGACAAAGCTGTCCTTTTTGGCACATGAAATTTTTCGTTAGTAAGTTCCAATATAATATGTATTATTCTTATTCTTACAACATGAAACTGTGAGTGGACACAACATGTGTAAAGTCATGCTCTATATCTGTTGAAAATCAAGAACTGATTTTTTATTCATTTTGCAATATAAATAAAGCATTTTTCATAGTTTATTAATTATTTAATATTAAATTGAAGTGTTTTTATTATATTATAATGAAAACATCCACATACCTATTCCTTCTGTAGGATTTGAACCAGAAAATTGCAATAATAGAGATATATTTAATTTTAAAATGTTAATTTAGTTTTCTGCTAAAAATTTAATATACATTTATATATTGGATGCAATATATTACAAATTTACTTTCAAATGGCATGTTCCAAGTTTAGTTGAAGAAGTATAAAACAATTACATTGCATAGCACACTTTAACACAGCAACAGTTATGATTTTCTGTTGAGTTCAAAGAATTTTATTCTAAAAAGTCGTCTTGTAAGAAGTATATTCATTTTCTTATTCCTTGCAAATTCAATTGAAAAAAAAAAAAAAAAATCACACTTTTATTTAGCATTTTGGTTGTATAGTTTTTTTTTTCTTTTTCTTTTTTCTTCCCCCCTTTTTTGGGGGTTAAATTATTTCTTTAGATATTTCTAATTTTCTTTATCTTATCAGCACTTCATTTCTTTTCTGAACACATCACTTGATCTAGCAATACTGTAATTTTAATTACCATTATTGCCAACTACTTGATTATTTTGTGTTCATAGCTATCATTAATGCCAACCATGTGATCTTTTGGAGACAGGTTTTCCTCATATAAGTTTATGTATTAAGCTTTTTTAGTTTTTCTTGTAAAATGCAATTTAAATAAGATATATTTATTATGAATACTTTTATTAATTCTCAGTGTTTCATAATATAAATTTTGTTTGACACGACATTTCTATAATAATGCAAAATCATTAATAACCATTTATATAATGCAAAATCATTGATAACCATTTATATCCCAGTGTGTAGACTAAATGCATTTGAAAAATCTAATTTGAAAGACCTTTTGATTACCAATGATTGAATGATCTAACTAATCAAAACATCTTTTACAACTAATTTTCAAAAAGTGTAAACTCCAAAATTGTAACGCATCTTGATCAACAACTAAAAAAGTTCACAGGATTGATGTTAATGAATTATAATAAAATGCTGTGTACTGTATGACTTTTTTAAATGTTTTATTTCATGAAACAAATTTTCTGTGTAAACTGAAATTTTCTTTTACAAATGAATACAATTCTCTTTTCATATAACGATAGGCCTTTGAAAGCTCCATCAAAATATATCATATTAAAAAACATTATTTATTTTGTCCCGCCATGAACTCTGAGTGAAGGTATGTTTATAATTTTAATTGTCTTATACACAGCATTACTTCTTAAATTGTGGCTTCATAGTGTTCAGTATAGAGTGATTTGATTAGATTCTGTACATTGAAACAGACAAATGTAATTTCTTATGTAATTCTAATTTTGGGTAATTATGGTATTCTTTTTTTCTATTTAATGAGCTGCTTAAGGTTAGTTTGGCTTATTTAGTTATGGTAAAGCACTTGAGGGATATCTACCTAAAGGAAGGGATGCCTTTGTGAATGCCTTTCAAAGGAAAACTGGCTCATGCATACATTACAAATGAGGAATACCATGAAAATGCCCATGCAGCCAGTCCATTCGCCAGGATTCAAAGCCTGGTGCCAACTGATGGGCAAGCTGCTTATGGTATTGGAGTATAAAATTTAATTAATATGCTAAATTACAGGAAAATGCACTGGTCTGGTAATCCAGTACAAAAGTTCTACATTCCATTCTTTTAAAATATAATGAATTCTGCCATCTTAGAGAAATATATTAAGTGTTTATTTGGGAATTTTTCTAATATGTTTAAATCTGTTTTATTTTTATTATATGTAATAAAATAATTATTCAAAGTGCAAATATTGAAATTGTTTTATTAATATATCTTTTAAGGTCATAAAATTCAAAAGCTGCCTTCTCGGAGCATGTCTCTTAGAAATTTCGATCCCAGAAAGCACCTGGAAAGATTACGAGAGAAGCGATCCTCTACAAGCTCCAATCCAGATGACTTAGTGGACTGTCCTGAAGAATTTAGTCATGTACAAATGAAGCGTCATGGTGCACTCTACGTATGAGCAACATTTAGTCTTTTATACATCACATTCACAAATTAACTGCATGCTTCATGTGTTGTTTACTAATACATTTTCCCTCAATTACTGTTAATGGTTTAAGATTTTAATAATGAATTGTCATTTACATCAGAGCAAAGAAAATTTTGGATTTTCCTTTTGCTGAGTACTAGTGAAGCATATCAGTAGACTTGGACAATTTTGTAGGTTATTAAGTGAAAATTATCTATGAAAGTTGCAGGAATATTATATGTTTTTCTTTAATTGGCAGAAAAATTACACCTGATATCTCAGAAAACAAATAGTTTGTTGTTATGAGGTTTTGTACACAGGTGTCCAATAGTATGAGAAAACAAGTCCTAATATACCAAAATAATAATAATGTCTGCCTCACAGTGTGGTTATTTCCCACAATTTTCCATGCCTAACAGCAGGCCATCATACGGTAAATGTGGTTGTTGATCATAGTTTAAGGAAACAAATCCAGTTATTCTAAACATAAAGATTTTAATACGTGGAGTGTCCTGGGGAAGATGTTGATGTAGTGTAATTCTTCTTTCCAGAGCATCTCGAGCATTATTAAAATAACATGCCAAATAATGATTATTGGAGGAATTCATGAGATCAGAAGTTTAAGGATCTTTAGGGATCGACCAGTATGGGCCTTTATTTATAATATTTTTCTTGTCTCTATTCTCTTGGTTCATTTTGTCATATTTTACCATTTTAAGCTTTCCGAATTGTATTTATTCATTTTTTTTTTTTTATTTTTTTTTTTTTTTTTTTTTTTTTTTTTTGTTTCTTCTTTTGCATTATGTCAAGACAGGAATCGTTTTGTAGTACGCCTAAGCGTATGAAATTCTTAAATTCTCCCATTTTTTTTAATTCAACAACCAGTATATATCCCCAATTTATACAATTACCGCTTGTCAACACAATAAAAGGCTATTCAAAACGCTTCATAACCTCAAGATGCTTATAAATTAGGTTAGCAACTTTACTGAGCACCAGTGTGTGAATATTTGACCATTGAGTTCTGTGTAACTATGTTATCATCAATAAAAAAAATCCTCTTCATCAGTTTTCAGGAAGTTTCAAATAGCAGGATTCAAGATTGGAAGATTGAACCATTGGATTTCAGTAAAACACATGAGGATTATCTGTTTAGGGAGAAGGATATCTTTTGGAAGACATTCAAGAGAGAAACTGGGTCTTATCCATGCTACACGTAGAGAAAAAACCAAACCTCTCATGCAGCCACCAACTCAGGTCAAACTATCATGTTCCTATTTTATCATTCAGCCTCTGAGGCTTCAAGAACCTCATACCTATAAGTGTACAGTCTTGGTGCCCAAATCAAAGACATGCAATGGTGTACAACAACTGAACATGATTTCCCCTTTGTAAAGATTCTACTTTGACTAAAAGGGTTGATTTCCTTTACGGTGGAGAAATGAAAATGGGCCCAGGGACTTTTCCAGATTAAGCTTATTGAGAAAATACTGTGTATTGAATCTTGACTAATTATTTAAGAGGTCGTGGCTACAATTTTGTTGTATCCAAGAATGGTATGCTTGGCTACATGCTAGGCTGTCTTCTGAAATTATCGAAGAATACCTAGCACTTTCTAACCCATGTACCTTTGTCTCTGTAAGGCATCTGTATACAGTTTTTATGGAAATTATTGCTCCAGATGCAACCATATATTGATGCTTCACAGGTGTCATGTCTATTGGACAGCCTTTAGCAAGCCTTCTGGTAGTGGCATCCATCATTAAAAATTAGTGCTGTAACTTAAATACCACCAATCGAGACACTTGTAACCATTGAGTGGCCTGTGCTGAGAGTACCCAGCCTCAAGCCTGTCAATAGCTGTCTATCTCAATCCATTGTCTAAAACAGTTGTTCTCAAACTTTTTTGCTCCATGTACCTTTTTCACCATTGCTAGATGATTGCACCAAAACTCAGAAAATATACCTATACATTTATTTAAGTCAAGGTTATTTTGTAATGTGTTTATAAATTAAACAAGAAAAAGTTTAGAAAATGTTGATAAATACTAAAACTTGAATCAAAGTAGTTTTCTATATTCCTAAAATAAAACTAATTACTTAATAAATAAAGGCTGACTGCATCTCCACCCTCTCCTGGTTGAGAATCCTTGTCCTAAACAACACCAACAATTCTTTTTAAATGAAATCCAGGCTAATCTTGAGATTTTTCTTGTAGGGAGTTGAATCTTAAAGTGGTGGGTGTGTTCCAGCAGAAGATATAGTCATAAAAGTGGTAACTAGGTATAGTAAAGTGGCTGTATGCTACTAGATGACACTGCTTAGATGCCAGCTGGTGGAAAAATGATGAAGTTTCATTCCTATCTTGAAAACAGTAAAGATAGGAGGAAAAAGTTAATTATAAATTTGTAGAGAGTATTGATTTAGTTCAAACGACACCTACACCTCATGGACATGAATGCTAAAAAACAGAATGCTGAAAATACACATTTGTTTCTTTGTGATTTCTGAAACTGTGATGTCATGAAACTTGAATGAAAAGATTATCTTTTGATGAAAAAAGAAGTCGGTATCATGGCATGGGTATCCTTGTAATTCACAATTGAGAGGACTGTAGTTCAAACCCTGTAGGGGTGCACTCCTGCACTCATTGCCTTTACAAACAGAATTTGAAATATGTAGATCATGTCACAAAACGCATCAACTCAACACAACTTAAACTTCATGTGCAAAATTTGTGCATCATGCAATAGTGTATGAAGCATCACGTATGTTCACCTGAGACAGCTATTAAAGGGATATCACATTGGAGTTGTTTGCTGAGTCCATGGAATGATTTTCAAAAACGAATATTATGAGATAGTTCTGTTTTATGGTGAATATGGGCACAAGGCATGATCAGCAGTGCAATCGTTGTGAGCAATTTTTTCCTGCAGGCCCATAGCCTTCACACAAAATTATCCTACAGGTTGTGAAATGTTTAAGGAAGCAGGCTACATGATTAATCGTCTTTCATCTGGTAGACCAGCTAAGGTAATGTTAATGGCTGCATGATATTTAGAACTTCTACAAGACATAATACCGATTTTATTGCCATTGCTTCAGCTTCAGAATAGATGGCTTCAAAATGATGCCGTGCCTGCACACAAGAGATCACCAAACAAGCAGCACCTGATAGAGAAATTCGGAGAACAAATAATCGAGTTTGAAAAGTGGCATCGACATCACCCTGACTTACTCCAATGAACTTATTCCTGTGGGGGATATCTCAAACAACAGATATATATGACCCTTCCACAAACATTGCAGGACTTTCAGCGATATAAAATAGATGCTTGAGCAAAACATGTCACCCACTATTTATTCTACAAGAAGTGCAATATGATGCTCTAACAAGAGTCCAGATGTGCATTTCTTTGATGCAGAGATATTTAAACATTGAAAGTAAAAGTATCTTGTGATAACTAGTTGTTTTTTCCTTTCTAAGATCATTTCATCACATACAGTGTAGGAAATCACAAACAAACAAATATACCTTAAAACGTTCTGTCCTTACATTCATGTCCATGAGGTGTCTATTTATACTAAATGCTGTACAACTTGCATTTCACTTTTACCTCCTATCTTGTACCGTTTTCTGAGATAGGAATGTTAACTCAGCTGTTTTCCACCAGGTGGTGGTGTAAGCAATCTCATCTAGTAGTGGATGGACACTTTACTATATCTAAACATCATTTTTATGACTATAGCCTGGAGCATTGGTTAGTGAAATGGGTGGTACTGTACTTCAATGGATATAGTATCATATATGGCGATAGATAACAGATATTTATATAGATTATTATATATAGTATCAATTTTTTTTTTCTTTTTTTTATCTTTAAACAAAATTATCCCAATATTATTTCTATGCAATATGCTACCACAAAATTGAGCAATTGTTGACAAAAAGGAAGAAATTTAGAACCAAATTCACAAAGGCATGAAAGAAATGAAATTCAAAACCAGTAAAACCCCAAATTCTCCATCCAAAAGTATATAGGAAGAAAAATGCAATCAAAATTTGATTCAACATTATCAAGAGAGGTAGATCAAACTCAATTGAATCCTTCCTTCCAAGGAAAAACACTATGTTTCTGTTCATCCAAAATTAGCTGATGAACCATTCTGAATTATTTATTAACAGTTGACCTGAAAATTCTGAATATTTCCTCTATGCAGAGGAATTCCAAAAATAAAATAAAAATATGCAAAAACAAATCCTTATGAAATAAGTTCAGTGTCCAATAAAGTAAGAAAAAAAATTATTAGACACATTTTTCTGAAATTAAAAATCAAATTAAAATGTAATAATACAAAATATATGTAAAAATTAACTGAGAACTTGACTTCAAAACCTACCTTTCAGCAAACAATGAACAAAAGACAGAAATTCGAAAGTAAATGCCAGTTTGACATCACTGATGATAGCAAGTTTAAAATCACCCAAAAAGGGAATTAAAAGCTAGAAATTTTCAGTTTTTTTAGATTTGAGAAGCATAGTAAGAAAAAGGAAACAAAAAGAAACAAAGCTTAGAAAAGAATGAAGTTTTCACATCACGGGCTTATCATGACAACTTGGAATAGAGTAGGCTGTGTGTTTCTAAAAGTATAGTCAGGAAAAATTGTGCAGTAACACAAATATATACAAATTATTCCATAAAATCCTTTAAAACATCTTTTTTTTATCCTTCTCTTTCATTATCTTGTAAAATTTTAGTAAAAAGAAGTATTTCTTGCTGCTGTTGTTCGATATCTGTGCATATGTTTTAAAATCTGGTAATTTTATTAAAAGTTTTATTTGCTATAACTTTTTTAGAGATGTTGATATTCTAATTTATAAGTTTAAATTGTTACAAAATTCTCTTCTTTATCAAATGGTTTTTTTGGAGGGGGCTCACCATGGCCGAGCCGGGTAAAGTCGCTGAACACTGGTAGTTCGGTCC